ATCCATAAATCATAAATCACCATTGTGATCAGATTAATATGAAATTAGTCAAAGAAAAGTTAACAAACCAGAGGACAGTTCATAACAGGCTCGTGTCTTTATATCTGCAACTTGTTCATTATTGCCTGCAAATGATAGAAAAAATCAGCCAAATGAGCTAAGAACTAATTCTGTAAGAAAAGAAAAATAGAACTGACATCATAATACAAAATTTTGAAACTGAAAGTAGCAGTTTCCTCATATGATACTAACCTGAAATGCAAAGTATGACACATTTCTTAGGAAACTTTGCCGCAATCCAAGATATGTGAGGAATGATTTTAATAAGCATATCTACTGAAGAAGCCACTTAAAATGGAGATCAAATGTCTTTTAGCACTCTTCAATTCCATGTTCAACATCAAAACGAGACTCAGTTAATAAGAAGATCATATCACTTTTAACACAACACACTAACATCAAGTGGAACTGTCAGCATTCTAGAGTAGATAAACTTACCCTCCATCAATTTTCATTACTGAAGCAATGATCTCTCCTTCATATTAACCAGGAGGTTGGCTATTAGGAACGTCTATTGAGACCCAAATAACACTTATTTCTCTACAATAGGAAGCATACCAGAGTACGTTAATCTCACGAAATAAGACAGCAATTTCTCCACATATCAGATTAAGAAATTGGATTAGTGAGTGGTATTACCAGTCAAGTAACGTAGCAAATCAAGACGGTTTTGGTGACTGGCCAACAACTAATCATAGAACTTGAAACAATCTGTAACATCATCATAAGAACAAGAATTAAACCAGAGACACAGGAACAAATCTAAACCAAAAACAGAGCATCACAAAACCATTCACAGTGAAGCTACGGCCATCAAACTCTTTCCCGATCATCTCTTTGATAGCATCCCATGGAAGATTTATTGTCCTTGAAGATCCCGATTCAGAATCCCCTTGATCTTCTAATTCTCGCGATCTGTCAAACCCAAAATCACAAAACTATCATAGGGAATGTGTCGATGAAATAACAAAATCGATCAACCTCTGGGTTCACGAAAGCAAGAAGATTATCATATCAATTGGGATAAATTAGGTAACAGTAACAAAGAACGAGAGACATAGTAACGATAATCGATCGAATAAGTAAACATATCAATCTTGGAATCAGAATGATTGGAATTGCCTCGACGGAACCCTAAATCTGGGAGTTTGATCACTCGTGTGACTCACTTTAGAAACGAGAACGTACTTTCTAGTGTTTGATCGACGGTGGCCCAAGCAAAGCCGCCGGAAAAAAACACCGGTACGTAATAGGGGAATTTAGGGTTTCAAAAAAAGGGAAGTTATTAGAGAGAGGGAGAGCGAGAGAGAGATTGTTTACGTTTTTCTTCCTCAAACGGCTATTTCCTTCTCTTATATAGAAGATCCAAAAATTTGAAAAGGAAGATCACACAAGGCAACAAGATCCGTTTTAGAAAATAAATAATTAAATTCCAGCATTGTACACGTCATAATTGTGAGCTGCAAAAGACCTAAACCAGGATTTTAAATTTTTGTTTTAGTAAAGGCGTGACATTTTTTTGGTTTAAGACTAACCATGATGATTTTGTGAACGCTTTTAGATTGGTTCGGTTTGGGCTAACACGTGACCTCAATTAACCCAATCAGTCCCCTACCTCTTAAGATTTCAAACGATTGATAACCGAAATTACAGTCAAATCTTAAACTTTGATTAAATTATTGGTGAGTATTATGCGAATAAAAGGGCATTTAAGAAAATAACTAAAACTGACAAATGAAACGCATGTTTTCTTGCGTTTTGCCTTATCTTATTCTCATTCTCAAAAACTTTTTTATAGAAAATTAGAAAGAGAGTAAGACACAGAGCGCGAAGTAATTATGTCCAATTCCTCTGATTCTGCAAAGCTTTTGTTAGGAAAATTTTCTAGAATTTAATACTTGTGCCTCTAGAATTCCGTGCACAATAATTTATTTTCTTGCCAGATTCGACAAAGGGGAAATGGTCACATACTTATACTTTTAACCAAAAAGCTGGATCATGGTATTTTTAGAAGAAAAAAAAATATGGCATTTCTGAAAAGATTTGTTTGAAATATGGCACTGCTCCTTAAATTCCCTTATTTTATTGTTTTAATTTTATTTTGGTAAAAATTTGTTCTTCAATTTTGATGTCCTATGTGAAGATGATAGCTTGAAGCACAAGCAAATTCAAATGTCTGACTCAACCTGAAGACTAACCAAGGTGACATAAATCAAACTGAGGTTAAATTACTTTTGGACCATAATCTGGGCCGGGGATAACGGCAATGAAGGAAGTTGCCTGGAAATAACCTTGTTTCTGCCATGAGGACATTTTGTCTATTTGTGCACAAAAGAGAAAAGGATAAGAGTGAGTAAAGCAAGTGTATTCAAGACTGCAGTTTTGGCGTGTGTGACGTTTACGACTGCGTTTTGGATCAGCTTAAAGTGAAGCCCTAATCTACTGCGTGTATATATAAAGGTGCTTCTGTCATTAAGAGAGTGTGTGAGAGATATTATGAGGTGTTGAGTAGAGAGAAAACTTGTCTTAGCATAAGCTTGTTATAGTTGTTCTCTGAGGGATACAAGAGTAGTCCAGAGTGAACCTAAGTACTAGTTAAGGGTATTAGGTGTTTCACTTGTAGACTCTTGTTGTAAAAACACCATCTGTTTCTAGTAGATTCCGAGGACAGTCTCGGCCCAGACGTAGCTACCCTCACGGGAGTGAACTAGGTAAACAAAGCTTTCTGTGTTCTTGCTTTGTTCTGTTTTATCTCTGTAAATCTTGTTTCTTGGTCACAAACACTTTGTTTCTTCGGTTTCATCTCTCTGTCTCTGTTATAACAACTCTGTTCTAGGTTGTTAGGTCTTTATCTAGAGGAAAGTCAACGCCTTTAGGTTGCTTTAGACTTAACATCCTAGAAGAAGACTTACAACTAATTTAGGCTCATCACGTAGAGAGCAACAATACGTAAATGACTACTCATTTTCTCCTCTACAAATATAACATTGTATCCACAAAAGATATCAGCAACTCTAATGAAATTAAAAAAAAGTGTCGTCATTTTCATCTTCACCGTATGAAAACCGATTTATCACACTAACTTCACATCTACCAATTTCAAATATTAAAAGATTTGCAAGCTAAAGAAACTTTCTTTGATGAGTTTAGTAACCTTTATTTTTGGTTACTGGTGCTTTGTAAAATTCACAATATAAATGTACTGTCTCTTTTTATTTTGTGCGCAGAATCTTCCAATGAGGTTCACTACGATTAAGAGAAGTGAAAATGCATGAAGGAAGAATACATTAGCCTTGTTCTTTTAGGTGTCGCTGCGACACACTCCGGCGACTGAAAAATACAAAGGAAAATGATATAAGCTGCTGCTTTTTCCAGCGACTGAAAAAATGGTCGCAGCGTCACCGTAATCATTAACAGCGGCATGCTCCCCACATTCTGGGATCACAAAACCCTTGTATTTACAGCTTATTTCCGGTCGCTTATTTGGGTCGTTAGCGACTGAACACCGAACATGGCCATTATGTTGGACACGCATGAAGTAGTGTGGCTAGTGAATATAATTATGGAAAAGAAAAAAAGAAAAAAAAGGATGTGTTTGGGTTCAAGGTTGACAGAATTTGGTAAAGTTAATTGGTTTAAAACATACTCCTCCATGATCGATCAAGACCTTGATCTTAAAGATGAACTTGTTGTTGTCGTAGATCTGAAACCCATGTACCTAAACCAACGGATCCATTATGTAAATTTAAGTATGTTGCACATCCATTTAGTTATTAAATAAACATAATTAAACCCACGGTTTAAAGGGTTTAAGCATGCATAAATATTTGGTTAAGGTAGTAAATCCCAATATTTTTATTTCTTTATCTTCCAATTTGCTATAGGTTACGATTTCCATTTTATTTTTTTATTAGAAAATTACACATGAGGATTTATAATTTTCTCATATATGTGAAAGAATGTGTAATCATTCACAAATTTAAGTCACGATGAAAATCCAGAACTAGTGAACTTTCAAAAACCACCATTACAAATAGCAGCAATACAAACCCTTTAACAAAAAAAAAAAGGGAAAATAGCAGCATTAAATAAAATTCTAAATAACACTTTTTAAACTATAACTTAAAGAGAAGTCATCGGGCTAAAATACAAAAAACTAATACAAATTAACAAAAAAATAGAGAAGAAGATTCTTGGAAGTGCACCAGTTTAAGTTTCTCGTTATGCATCAGAAATCGACATTTCACCAGTCACGGTTCTAAAGTTTTTAAAGTAGTACATATATTATCAATATCTAGAAACCAATACAAAAAAATCTTGGACATATATTCGCAAAAATAATATTAAAACATTAATACGTTACATACATATAAAGAGCTTTGGTGGACTGGTAGCTCACCGATATCTAATTGGATGATAAGTCATTTTTCATTTAGTTCAATGCATAATGTAAACTATGCACGCAAGAAAGTAAATTATCACAAAACGTATTGAGTTTCGGGATATTTCTGGTGTTGGTTTATATATAAAGACAAAGTAAAGCTTGGCCTAACCAAACTCATAAGTGATTTTGTTTTATTAAAAAGTAAAAAGCCTTAGAAACTAGTGCATTGATGTCACGTTTCTTCCTATATATGATATAACATGTAAAACTATAATCTAGACTTAGATAAATACGATTTTACTGTTTTCGTTAATTTGAAAGTTTCGTTTGACCAAGAAATGTAGTTACATATTTGTTGGAAAAGGTGAACGAACCCATAAGTCAAATCGGACCAAGAGATGTAGTTACATGTTTTTGCTTTCCAAAAACATATTTTGTAAAACACAAAGTTCTTATATCCGAATGTAACTAATTTTAGAAAGACGTCTCTTATATATTTTGTTTTGGGCAAATGAAAGACGTCTCTTATACAAATATATGTATATGCCTCTCTATTCTTTGATTAACTTCAGTCAAAATAATTAATTTACTAAACCCTCCCAAAATGTCATATTCCTTCTTCCATTTCTTCCTAATCTCTCTTTTCCTCTACAAAAATTGCATCGCGCATCGCTACACATTCACGGTAGGTTTTAATTAGTTATTCGATTAGGCGTGAGTAAACTAACTTTAATTGATGAAAACTAAGTATAAAGTTAACTAATGGCAGGTTAGGGATGTTCCATATACGAAACTGTGTAGCACGAAGACGATTTTAACCGTTAATAGTCAGTTTCCTGGACCGGTTATAAAGGTTCACAAAGGAGACACTATTTATGTTAACGTTCGTAACCGAGCTAGTGAAAACATCACAATGCATTGGTAATCTAAAACCCCTTTATTCTTACAAGTTTATACTGAATTAATTCGATGATGGTTGAATAAGTGTGTATGTATTTTATATAGGCATGGTGTAGAGCAGCCGAGAAACCCGTGGTCAGATGGTCCTGAATACATTACACAATGCCCGATTCGACCCGGGTCAAATTTTATGTACAAAGTAATATTTTCCATCGAAGACACGACTGTTTGGTGGCACGCGCATAGCCTTTGGACACGTGCAACTGTACACGGTCTTATTTTCGTATATCCTCGGCCCCCGGAATCCCTCCCGTTCCCAAAGGCGGACCATGAAGTCCCTTTAGTTTTGGGTAAATGGACAAAATATTTATATTTTCAGATGTTTATTGTATATTAAACAAAGTTACGCTCTTTTTTTCTAAAAATAATTTCATAAAACTGAACAGGCGAGTGGTGGAAAAGGGATGTGAGAGAGGTGTTGGAGGAGTTCATAAGGACAGGAGGGGCTCCCAATGTGTCCGATGCTTTGACCATAAATGGGCATCCTGGTTTCTTGTATCCTTGCTCTAAATCAGGTTTTTTCATTTTTTTAATCATTTCTCCGTGATTAGTACGTTCTTAATCTGTAAATTTATCAAAATTGTGTGACAATATGGAGATGAAATTAAAATTTACGGATATAAGTGTAACTGTGGATTAAACTCATTGAATGTGAAGTGATAGATTAGGAATGTGAAGTGATAGATTAGGAATCTAAGTTATTAGAATGAGCATTTGTTTAAAAAAAATTAAAAAAAAAAAAAGTATAAGCCCCTTTTATTAGATTTTTTATTATTATTTTTCTTTGTTTTAAAGAAATTGTGTGAAAGTTATCGGGATTTGATCAGATAATTATTTGTGTTGTATTCTATTGGTTGTTAGTTGTTATTTGTTAGTTAGTGATAACAAAATCGTAAAAGGCTTTGACAAAAAAAAAAAAAAAAAAAAATTCGTAGAAGGCATACTATTTCATACCGAAATATTTGTGTTTGTAGTTGTTATATATGACTTTTGTTTTTATTTTTGAAAGTATACGTATTTTTTGTTTGCATGATGCATGCATATATGTTTAAAACTTATTTAATAATTTTGTTACTTGACATGAACAGATACATTTCATCTCACGGTAGAGAAGGGCAAAACCTACCGCATTCGGATGGTAAATGCCGCGATGAACCTAATTCTCTTTTTCGCAATCGCGAACCACAGCCTCACCGTGGTCGCGGCCGATGGACACTACATCAAACCTTTAAAGGCTACTTATATCACCATATCCCCTGGCGAAACGCTAGACATGTTATTACAAGCTGACCAAAACCCAAAACGCACTTATTACATGGCGGCCAGAGCTTACCAAACCGGCAATATCGATTTCGACAACACCACTACCATAGGAATCTTAAGTTACTCTTCATGCAAAGCCAAAACATCTTCCTTTTCAGGATATTACCCAACTCTTCCTTTTTATAATGACACCTCAGCAGCTTTCGGGTTCTTTACCAATATCAAAAGCCTATACTCCGGTCAAGTTCCTGTCCAAATATCGCGTAGGATAATCACGACGATTTCAATAAATCTTCGCATGTGTCCTCAAAACTCTTGTGAAGGTCCAAACGGGTCGAGATTAGCAGCGAGTATGAATAACATATCGTTTGTCACACCAAGTCATGTGGACATACTAAAAGCTTATTACTATCACATTAAAGGCGTTTATGGAACGCGGTTTCCAGAGTTTCCACCGTTGTTTTTCAATTTTACCGCAGAAAATCAACCATTGTTTTTGGAAACTCCGAGACTCGCGACTGAGGTAAAGGTGATTGAGTTCGGGCAAGTGGTTGAGCTTGTTATTCAAGGGACAAGTTTGGTTAATGCACTCGATCACCCTATGCATCTCCATGGTTTTAGCTTCTTTGTGGTTGGAGTAGGGTTTGGGAACTTTAACATAAGTGAAGGAGAACCAACGTCATTGTATAATCTCGTGGATCCACCTTACAAAAATACAATGACCGTGCCCATTAATGGTTGGATCGCTATCAGATTTCAAGCTAATAATCCCGGTACGTACCTTACATAAATGCTTATTTTATAATCTTATAAACCTAAATAAACAGAAAAGAGTTGATAAGTTAGTGTCTTCCTAAGTGTCATTCTCAACTTTGCTAGGTTATAATCTCTTTGGTTCGTTGTTGAAATTGTGGTGTTGTAACCAACAACACTAGAAAGAGGTTTTTAAAAAGCCAAAAGACCTAACTAAACCGGATTTAACCAAAAAAACTTTACCCGAGTTTTTATTTACTAAAAGATTTAACAAAACTCGAAAATCGAATTTAAATTTTAACCAAGCCAAAGTAATATTTCTTCAAAGATCATATTTGTACAGTTATCTAATTATATTAAATACATATAGCATACCTTAGAAATGATAAGGTATTTATAAGTTATTTTAAATCTAAAACTGAATAGAAACTGAAATTAAATCGAAATAAAATCCAACCAACCAAATTTTTTTTTATTTCGGGTGAGTCATCTACAACAAATTAAAATAAACCGAACCACAATTATGATTCTATCGAAATGAACCACGTCAAATATTAATAATTTATCAATTTTGAAGATGATGGTTATAATCTTGCAATTGTGTTTTATAGGGGTTTGGTTCATGCACTGTCACTTGGATAGACATCAAACGTGGGGTATGAATGTTGTGTTCATTGTTAAGAATGGGAGAGAGCCAAATCAGCAGATTCTGCCTCCACCACATGATTTGCCGCCTTGTTATGAATAATTGAATGTTACCAGTTCTAAAATTGGTGATTCAACTGTCACCAATTTGAGTATATTTAAATTATTATCATATTGTATTGTATTGATGTATTTAACGTGATTTACTAAAATACATTTTAGTTTTCTAATAATATTATTTATGGTGGTAATAAAAAGAAAGAAAAAGGTATAATCTTGTGTCATAACAAAAAAAAAAATGAAAGAATGAAGTTTAAATATATGGAAAAAAGAATGGAGTTGGCGGTATCGCTGGATGAAACAGCGGCTGTTAAAATGGTTGTTGTAGGTCATGTTCTTTTGATAATCGCACGACTCCAACAAGAGACTCATTGTAGCCAATATTAAGTGTTATAATTATTGGTCACTTTCCATTGTAGCAACGACTCTCCCGAACAGACCAAATATATAAGAATAGACCAAATATATGAAAAAATATTTCTCAACTAAAAATCATGAGATGTAGTGGCGAAGGGGACAGAGGGTGGTGGCAAATCATGAGATGAAGTTTAAAAAATGAAAAAATCTTGTTTAAATAAGGCTCTTCTTTCAAAAACGGTAAACCCGAGGAACCAAGGTATGGCGAAGGGGACAGAGGGTGGTGGCAAACCACCAAAATACAAAGGTGATAGATGAAAGTTTTGAGTTGGAATTGTCGAGGACTTGGGAACAAGGCAACTATCGGTTATCTTAGGGACATTTGGAAACAACACCGGCCAGATTTTTTATTTCTTTCAGAAACAAAACAATCTTCTTTTTTTATGGAAAAATTTATCGGTCACTTTGGTTATAAAAATTTAAAAACGGTTGATCCTATCGGTTGTAGTGGCGGTTTAGCTCTTTATTATAATAATGATTTTAATGTTTCTATTGTTTATGAAAGTAATCGATTAATTGATGTTAAAGCGGTGGTAAAAGGAAAAACAATTCATCTTACTTTTGTTTATGGTGACCCGGTTCCGAAAAATAGAGATCAAGTTTGGGAACGGTTAACGCGGATCGGATTGACTAGGGATACACCATGGTTTTTAATTGGTGATTTTAATGAGTTAACCGGAAATCATGAGAAAAGAGGTGGTACTCTAAGACATGCTTCGTCGTTTATCCCTTTTAATTTAATGATTCAAAATTGCGGCCTATTGGAATTCCCATATATCGGAGATTGGTTGTCCTGGCGGGGTTGGCGGGATAAAAAACCAATACGGTGTCGTTTGGATAGAGCTTTAGCGAATGAGGATTGGCATGAATTATTCTGCAACTCTTTTGTTGAATATTTACCAATGGTTGCTTCCGACCATTCACCGGTAGTAGCTACGTTATTGGATAAGATACCTCGTGGGAAACGAATCTTTAGGTTTGACAAGAGATGGATTGGAAAGGAAGGGTTACAGGAGGCAATCTCAAATGGTTGGAATTCAGATTCCGAATTAGGAGAAGGAAATTTCGTGACAAAATTGAATAATTGTAGGCGGGCTATTTCGCAGTGGCGGAAAGAATTAACTCCTTATGGACGACAAACAATTGAGGAACTTAAATCGGAATTACATGTGGCACAAAGTGATGACAGGAGATCACGAGAGGAGATTACGGAATTGACATTGCGGTTGAAAGAAGCTTACCGAGATGAGGAACTGTACTGGTATCAAAAAAGTAGGTGCTCTTGGATGCAACTAGGAGATAATAACTCAAAGTACTTTCACGCTCTAACAAAACAGAGACGGGTAAGGAATCGGATTACGGGGCTGCATGATGAAAACGGGATATGGTCTGCAGAGGATGAAGATATTCAAAATATAGCGGTTTCTTATTTTAAGGACCTGTTTACTACAACTAAGCCCGAGGACTTTGAGGAGTCTTTGGCAGAAATAGAAAGTCTGATTACAGATCAGATTAATAATTTATTAACGGCACCTGCTACGGAGAATGAGGTGAGAACAGCTTTGTTTATGATGCATCCGGATAAATCGCCAGGACCCGATGGTATGACAGCCTTATTTTTTCAAAAGGCGTGGATTACAATTAAATCAGATCTTCTTTTTCTGGTTAACTCTTTTTTAGAGGATGGAATTTTCGACAAAAGGTTAAATACGACAAATATTTGTCTGATTCCAAAAACGGAAAGACCGACACGGATGACGGAATTACGGCCTATAAGTCTATGCAATGTGGGATATAAAATTATATCAAAGATTCTTTGTCAAAGACTTAAAACGGTTTTACCAAAACTGATTTCGGAAACACAATCGGCTTTTGTCGAAGGACGGTTGATTTCGGATAATATTCTTATTGCACAAGAGATGTTTCATGGGTTGAGAACTAACCCGTCATGTAAAGGAAAATTCATGGCCATTAAAACTGATATGAGTAAAGCTTATGACAGGGTGGAATGGATTTTTGTGGAAAAGGTTCTAAGAAAATTAGGCTTCTGTGAGAAATGGATTAACTGGATAATGTGGTGTATTACAACAGTTCAATATAGAGTGCTCCTTAATGGGCAACCTAGAGGACTAATTGTACCAGAAAGAGGATTACGACAAGGAGACCCGCTCTCTCCTTATTTATTTATCCTTTGTACAGAGGTGCTAATTGCGAATATTCGGAAAGCAGAAAGGGAAAAATTAATTACGGGTATTAAAGTAGCAAATGCAAGCCCTTCGGTTTCACATCTGTTATTTGCGGATGATAGTTTATTCTTTTGCAAGGCCAAAAAGGACCAGTGTGAGGTAATTTTGAGGATTTTAAAGAAGTATGAAGCGGTCTCAGGACAGCAGATCAACTTCTTAAAATCTTCGATTCAGTTTGGACATAAGGTAGATGAGGATATCAAGGATGAAATCAAATCTACCTTGGGAATTACTAATATCGGTGGGATGGGCTCTTATCTTGGATTGCCGGAAAGTTTGGGTGGCTCTAAAACAAAATTTTTTTCTTTTGTTAGAGATAGATTGCAAACAAGAATTAACGGATGGTCGGCAAAATTTTTATCGAAAGGTGGAAAAGAAGTGATGATTAAATCAGTAGCTGCAGCACTACCAACTTATGTTATGTCGTGCTTCAGACTACCGAAAACAATCACTTCTAAACTTACTAGTGCGGTTGCTAAATTTTGGTGGAGTTCAAATGGGGATTCTAGAGGTATGCACTGGATGGCGTGGAACAAGTTGTGCAATAGCAAATCGGAAGGAGGGGTAGGTTTCCGGAATGTAGACGATTTTAATTCAGCCCTATTAGCCAAACAATTGTGGCGGTTGATTACGGTTCCAGATTCTCTTTTCGCGAAGGTGTTTAAAGGGCGGTATTTTCGGAAATCCAATCCCTTGGAGAATATAAAATCATACTCCCCATCCTATGGATGGCGTAGTATCTGTTCAGCTAGATCTCTGGTTAATAAAGGACTTATTAAAAGGGTCGGATCGGGGACATCCATCTCAGTTTGGGAGGATCCCTGGATTCCAGCTCAATTCCCGAGACCAGCAAAGAGTAATGGTTCACTTGTTGACCCATTGTTAAAAGTTAAAAATCTTATAGATTGTCGGACGAATTTTTGGAATATTGATCTCTTAGAAGAGATTTTTGATTCAGAAGATGTCGCCATAATAAGTGCCCTACCTGTGGGTGCGCCAACTAAGGAAGATATGCTGGGTTGGCATTTTACAAAATCCGGAAAATATACAGTCAAATCGGGATATCATACCACAAGGATAGAAAAGTCGGAGACCGATTTATCTTTGTTCGGCCCAGATATCAAACCGTTAAAAGCACAGTCTTGGAAAGTGCAGTGTCCACCTAAGATACGTCATTTCTTGTGGCAAATCTTAACGGGTTGTGTACCAGTAACGGAAAATTTACGGAGAAGAGGAATTGATTGTGACACAGGATGTGCCAGATGTGGCGAACTAGTGGAAACAATTAATCACACCCTTTTTCAGTGCCATCCGGCACGACAGATTTGGGCACTATCCCAGATTCCTACGGCTATAGGAATTTTCCCAACGGAGTCTATTTTTGCGAATTTGGACCATTTATTTTGGCGAATACCTACGGAATTTGATTCTTCAGCCTTTCCCTGGATTATCTGGTATATTTGGAAAGCGAGGAATGAAAAAATGTTTGACAATGTTGATTCAGATCCTTTAGAGGTTGTACGGTTAGCGGAAAAAGAAGCACAATTGTGGCAGTCAGCCCAAATCGAGCTTCATCAGGAAAATAATGGTTCTGTGGATTTGGTAACTCGTTCTCGAGTGGGGGTTGCTTCACTTGATTCGAATTATTCTGGATACCATTGTTTTGTGGACGGATCATGGAAAGAAAGTGACAAGTTCTCCGGTACAGGATGGTTCTGTACATCATCAGACGGAGAGCCGCCAACCATGGGAGCTGCCAACCTCCGTCGAAGTCTATCTCCATTACATACAGAATTCGAGGCTCTTCTCTGGGCGATGAAGTGTATGATCGGTGCAGATAATCAAGACGTAGCTTTCCTTACAGACTGTTCTGACCTGGTGAAGATGGTGTCTTCTCCAACCGAATGGCCGACATTTTCAGTGTATTTGGAGGAATTCCAGAGCGACAAGGAAGAATTCTCTACCTTCTCTTTATCTTTAATTTCTCGTAATGCTAATGTAAAAGCGGATAATCTGGCACGAAAAGTTCGTACAGACCCGCTTCATATCACTTATGTAAACAACATTCCCCAGAAATGGCTCTTTTGAGCACTAATTAATTTCGGATGACAAAAAAAAAAAAATCCAAACAAACCAGTTCCAAGTACAAATTAAAGGAGAAGAAATCAAAGATCTCAAAGTTTAAAGCATGAAAATAAGGGGCCTTCCCCAAAGCAACAAAAGGATAGATAGAATACTTCGACTTGTGATCCATACACGCTTTGGAGACCAATGCTAGCAAGCAAATTGGAATAAGCAAATCCATGGTGAGTCGAATTAACTTCCATGGTCATAGCTTCGTACCAAGAAAAAGATCAAGAGCCCACAAGAAAATGATTGTTGTCTGAATGATCTTCCAGTAATTGATTTCAATATGACCTTTAAGTGGGCCTCTTCTTTCCAAGAGAAACTGAAGATAGATTTTAAGGGAAGGTGATTCATCTCGGGAGTCCCTAGTTCTTTTGACTCGAGGCTTTTCCCGAGTAAATCTCTTCATTTTGTTTATTCAGCTAGTAGTATCCATTCACTCTCCAAAGTCCCTGAAGGGATTGAGGATAACAAAAGAATGTGTAATATTATAAGTCTTTGAACCCGTTAAATGTGTCCAAGAGTTACTTGAACCAGTTTCAAAATGACTTTTCGTTATTGTTATAAATGTGTTCTGAAGAAGTAATGACTTTTCAAGAGTTACTTGCATGGTTCTCACATTCAAAGACAAAAATGCATCTGATCATCTTTATAGAGAGAGTTGTTACTATTGGTCGTTTTCTCCGAGGTTATCACTAAACTTTAAATTGTTGAAGTTCATATTACATTATTGTTAAGTAGGGAATTATTCACTAAATTAAATGTTACATGTTATTGCAGGGAGTTGTAAAAGAATCAGAAGTGGATTCATTCAACTTGCCGTTCTATGATGCGGGTGAAGAAGAGGTGAGGGAAGTTGTTGAAAACGAAGGATCTTTCTGAGATTAACAAAATCAAGACACATGAACATCTAGTTCCATACAAAGATAGTCAAGAAAATGATGATGAAACATGTCGACCAAAATTTGGGGAATTGATGGCAAACAAGAAAATGATCAATCGCTGAACCGATGTTGGTTTCTCGTTTTGGAGATGCAAATATCGACCACCTATTTAAGGAGTATGCACACAATGCAGCCTAATATTACATTGTCTCAAGACGCCAACTTTGTCGTGTCGTTAACTAGAAAATAAAAGGTTTGGTTGTTTCTTTTCTTCATTTGGGTCAAGAAATGGTTTCGTTTTTGCAGCAGGTAATGATGAATAAGGTGATATAGAACCAGTAAGTATGGCTGTTTATTCAGATTGAAGTCTATGTGTTGTCTCATTAGACGGATTTGTTTTGCTTATTTACAGCAACAGCTTAGTTTCACTCTTTATAGATTAGAGAATAATTGGCTAGTCAGCATTCATCAAGCTTAGAAATTGGCTACGCTTACTCTACCCAGTAAACAGAAGAAACAGCAGGAACAAGCAGTGACTCCATGACAAATATGGCCTTTACTAATTTCATAGACAACAGTAAGGTTCATCTCATTATATTTCCAAAAGCTAAAGATGTGGTAATGTTTCTTCTTTCGCACTCCGACAAGTCAGTCATATATTCAGGTAGGGGATATCTCCATGTCTTGTACCAGATCATTATCATCATCACCTCGAGAGATCTCTGTGTGGTGACAATCACCATTGTAGGTAAAGTGATGCATCTGTGTTATGTGACCCTGTTGAACTGCTCTGGTCTTGTGGCTTTTACTCCAGTCCCTTCGGCTCCAAAGGTATAGAGGTGGCGGTATATTGTTCCACTGCTCTATCGTTTTATCATTCACATCTACTGACCCAGGCAAGTAGAACGACTGCAAAACAAAATGTAAAGAGATTGATCGAAAGCTTATTCATAAAATAAACGAGGGTTGGAGTCATTTGTACACATACGTACCATTCCAGCAAGTAAATTACTGTCCTCCCAAATCAACTCATAATCAGCAATCGCATCGACCCTGAATGTAGACAAACCCAGAGTTATGAAAAGTTTGTCATTGATACTGTCTATTTGCTATTTACCTTTTTGTTTCACTTGGTACGATGAGGATTAAGATCTTCGGTTTAAACTCGAGGGCCTTCTTAATGAAAGTGTTAGCAAGACTGGCTTTATGACCGAAAGGCGGGTTCAATCCCATTATCTGTTTTTATCCATGACAAAAAGAAAACTTAATCAGTGTATTCAATATATGCATCTCAACTTTAGGATTTCATTTGCTTTCTTACCAGTTGAGAGCCATCGGGTAACTCTTCTGGCTTCACACTCAACCAGTCTCTCTTCTCAAAATTGAAGTTGTTCTGCCATGGGAACTTCATGTTTTAGAAACAGCTTCAAACAGAAGATTCAAAGAGTGGTTGCTATACCTTAGGTGGAATGAGATCAAAGTTTTTGAAGAAGCATGTTTTCCCCGTTTCCATAAGCTTTTCTTTCATCAAACAACTGAAGTCATTAGAGCCGCAGCAAAAGTCGACTACCTGAAACCACCGAGAGTTTATCGAGAATGTTATATTTGATAATTAGAAGCAGAGGCATTGGTTAAGGAATTATTAGCACAATTACCGTATCGCCATTTTCGACATACCAGTGGAGCCTCTCTACAATCTGCATCATTAATTTCTATTAAATCGGTTTCTAATAATCATCACTAAACCAGTAGAATGTGATGGATCAAGGTAAAGATGAGTTAGAAAAACATGAGATAAATAGTTCACCTCTTTAAGCTTCTCAGGATTTGTGAAGTGACGACCAAACGATGTGTAGCGCATACCATGGAGAAAAGGCGAAAGATAAATTTCAAGCTTCGTCTGCAGTTCATCAAAAACATGAATGTTTTATACTGTGAAATCTTTTCCCTTAATGGAAATTCTTTCACGTGTAGGAATCTCCTCACACAAAAGCTAAGTGATTCTCAATGAATGACATACCAGCTTCCAGAATAATCTTAAAGTGATAAAAAGATTGCGATAGCTAAATATAATTTATAACCTTATGCTTCATGAGTTGGAGTAGGATATCTGGGTCAAATATAGCTCTAGCATCTTTGTCACGCCCTTCTTCAAACATCTTTAAGGCAGCTCGAGCAGCCTGTAGAATAGTCGTTAAGATTCAGGGAGACAGCAATGCTAACTAAATTACATATCTATGTTTCAAAAAAAAAACCCGCAGTTGCAGTGACATACATTGACATGAGTCTGAACCAACCCTGTTGTGATGTTCTTACTGATATCATTTCCTGAGTGGTAGGATTTTATATGGGTTGGCTTACGAGACTTAACGAACTCGTCAAAGTTAAACGAGGATTCCACTTCATCGATTATACCCATCACCCTGTCTTACCAGAAAAATATAATGAGTAGTTGAAACTATTAATAATGTAACAATTTCTTGCAGTGGCCAAAAAGAACATCACCTCTGTTCCACATCATTGACACTAATATCTTTCTTTGGTTTCTTATAAGGGTCAGTAATATCAAGACGAGTAAATAGACCCTCACGATGGTTTGGATCTGTCTCCATACTCGGAACATCCTCTTTGAACTGTTCTAGCCCGTGACTTCGTGTTCTTCTTTGTCCAGATATATCAGGAAAAATTAAGTGGTCTCTAGCTGGAGTAAGAATATGACCGTCTATCTCATGGGTCCTGTTTCAAAGTTTATGAAAACCAATACATTTTGCAGATCATAACAGAAAACTCTACTTTAAATGCACTTAAAACCAATCAGAACATTCAAAAACTTACAAACAATATATAAGAATGCGGTTGTAGGGAAGCAGTCTTTCCCAAGCTCTTTGCAATGTGTCATCGTCAGAGTTGAGTTCAGAAGTAATCTCCCTGAATACAAAATGAAGGAAACAAATATCTGAAGCTAATATATATGGCCAGTAGGAGCTTGAGGAAAAAGTAAAATGAAAAACGGTTTACCTAGGTAAACATTTTCTGTGATAAGCTGTTGGGCAACGTCTGCATACAGCAAAATGCAACGCATATTCATTCTTGTCTTCACTCGTGTTACAGACTTTACATATGTGTAGAGGACATGCAAAGTAGTCTCTAGCAGCAATCTTGGCTTGAAGTTCTTCTGCTTTGATATGATCATCAGCACAGAGAAGTCTTGCAACACATTTGGGATGGTAGAAATGACCACAATTTGACGCAGAACAAGGGAAGACCTTCAAAGCAGTAAACAGTTGGATGGATTTCAAGTACTCAGTACAGCTAAACTTACCAAATATATCTACATGAACTGTGATATGGTGCAAGTATATACCTGTTGAGAGGAATTTTCATCAGAGGATCCCAATTCGCCACAAGCATAGCACTGGTGCTGTTTATAGAGACAGTTGTTACACAAATAGGTCCCGAGTGCCTACATATGTAGCAAACCAACTTCAGAATGAAGCCTTACCAGTCACCATAATAGCATATTAAACAGAAACTCTAAAGCCGATTCACAGTACTTGAATTTGAGTCTTATCTATGAAACCTAGCGATTCGCACTCTGTCTCAATTCCATCAGCTATGGTTGGATGGAAAGATCTCAAGCAACTTCCTTCACAACTGAGTTCAAAACAAGGAGATTAAATGAAATCGTTGCAGTTTGTAAAGAGCTCTAGAAATAACATCAACTTATGAAGCTTGACATACCACAGAACATAACCACCATTGTCACAAATAGAACAGACTGGATCAAACTGCAAGTTCGCCTCAGATTCATCATCGCTGCTGTTTTCCTCATATATCATATTATCAACAATGAAGTTCTGTTCCATTGGTGTCTGATCATCTTGTAGATGGTGCGTTGGAAGTTCCTTAAGAAGGAAAAAAAAAAGAATTAAACTCAGTAGAAAGACAGCAAGAAAGGTGGCAGAAAACAAAGAAATCACGTGTAACTAGGTCTTACCACTTCGATAGGTGTTGTTAGTGAAGTCTTCTCCAAAACCGTAAGCAAACACTGCACAATAAATAAACAAATGAACGTTGCTTTTCTGATTAGTTTGGTTCCTTCTAAACTAATCTGTGTTCTGAAACACACAAAGTCAAAACTGAAACAAAAGTATCAGTATGTCCAAGAGGCAAGAGTAAAAGAAAAAACAGACATTTTAATGTGGGTTCAAATCCAGAAATACTACAACAAGACTTAAAGCTAAGGAATCAGACTCATAGTCATATATTTTAGCTCTCATTAGAACCAAACGCACAAGAAATATGTATAAAAAAACCCAACCAAAGAGAAAATAGACCTTTGATTTTGATAAATCTTCATCTCTTTTGATAGCTTCACACAGTAAAGAAACATGATCTGATAAGTCATCCTCTGAAGGCTGTATCCTGAGTGAACAACAAAACAAACACATGATTTCAAAAATGACATAAAAGGATAACACATCAAACAAAACAAACTATTCCAATCATACCCATCCAATGTCTGTAAACTATTCCACACATCATCACTTGAAGCATCCGGATTCCTTTTGACAAAGTGAAGAAACTGAAGAGTAACCAGAGTTGTTCTAATCAAAGCTTCATAACTTTTTCTAGGGCTTTGTAGAGTTATCCAATGCATCATCCCATGAAGAAGCACCTCGATCTTGGGATGTTCATCAACAGAAAGTTCAAAGTTCCAACCTTTGACAAGCTTAGAAAATGACTCGTCTCCGGAGTTTATGTTACCACGCAAAAACACAGGCGATCCCGAGCTATCAGTTGAATCAACGTTCAGTGGCACATCACAAAACTTCACAGGTGTGTCACTTTGATCAACGAAATAGTACTCATCAACAAAATCAGGTAGAATCTCGCCTTCTTCTACTGACCACTCCATTAGATTAGCTGAAGAAGAAAAGAAAAAAAGCAAAGCTTTACAGATTCAGCTCCTTGTCACTAACCGAGAAACAATAGAGCTGATTTGAGCATTTTTCCAGGAGAAATTCTCAAAAGAAAGCATCAATCATAGATTATTTTCACGCATTTTCTCGGATACAGTGTCGATAATGTTCGGAGAAATTGCCCAAACAAAGCAACAAAGAATCTGATAGTTTGAGGGTACCTGTGGCGTTCTTGAAGAAGAAAATGTGAACAAAGGTTTGAAGAAGAGCTCGACGACCGTGGGAAAATAAATTAACAGAGCAAAGTGGCAAAGTGCGGAAACAATGGCTGGAAAGCCACTTTTGGGGAAAAAAAATGCTGGAATGCCACCTTCGTATTTTCATTTTTTTTTAACATTTTTTTTAAATCAAAAGATAAGGGAAATGCCCAAAAACCCATTGTCAATAACGAAAACTACCAACCCAACCTGAAGTATCCGATTATCCACTCCAAATTTGATGATCCGACCCAAATCCACACAAACCCACAAAATACTCTTATTTTTTCTTCTTCGTTTCTTCTTCAATTGTTTATTCTTCTTTCCTTTTCTCATCTTCTTAAGCTCCAAAATCCCCAAATCATGAACTTCAATCCAAGAACTACTTGAGTTGAGAGTCGAAATCAGAGTTTCGGAGATCTCGATTGAGATTCTTCAATTCCAAAAGGCTAACATACACAAAAAGGATCTTCCATCTGATGTGTTGCTTCAGAAGATATCGGAATCTGAAGCGAATAAATTGGTGGATGAGGTTGTGAAATCTCGGAAGCAAGAACTGATTCGGGAAACTCTGAGATCGAAGATTGGATCTGCGGTTTCGTTGCTAAGGAAAGCAGACTGGGGATTGATCGTGTTTGGTAAAGGAGTTGCGTATTACTTTGATTCCAGATGTATATTCGTTGATGGTTTCGGCGGCTCCATATACTTATGACGTCGCTCGTAAGTATCTACTTCATCTTCGATTTCTGTGTTTTGTTTTTTTTTTGCGTAGCGATCGATCTTGGCGATTTCATTTGTGGTTTGATTTTGAAATTGAGTTTGAATTTTATCTTCTGTGTTGTAGCTATTGAGTCATAAGAATGCTGGATTGAATCGGTTTTATGAAGGAACCAAAATTTGTGCTGAGATTGGTGTTTGTCTTCACTTATATGATATTAGTCAGATTGGAAGAGATCGAAAATGACCAAACGCATCATTGTTTAGAATGTTTATAGGTTAAATCTTGTGTTTGAACGAATTGTTTGTTTTTTTGTGTATCAAGTTACTCCAAGAAAGGTGTTGGAATTTAAAAATCCTAAAGAAGCCATATGTGAAGTTGCTGAAAAGCTTGTTGTTGGAAGCCTGGTAAAGGAGCATTACAAAGCTATGTGTGTAGGTTCTGTTTTGTTAGTTTTTTTGTATGGATAGCTTGTTTAGAGATTAGTTAGGCTTGGTTTGATCCTTTTAAATAGGTTTTTTTTATATGGATAGCTATGTTTTTTAGTCAGATTTGTAGCTTTAGTTTGACATAAACCTTAGAATTATTATCTCAATTTGATAAATGAATTGTTTAACTAAGTGTTTATATAGCGGTATGTTTTAACTGATATACTTTGCATGTTTTTTGATGAATGTGTACTTGTTTGTATCTTTACTTGTTGATTTTTGTTTCTAAATTCAGATATGGATTGTCTACATCATTTGGTTCAATAAAATGAAGAACTAAAAGGCTTTCTGAAGAGTATAATAGTGGTTTGAATGATGATTTGGTGTTGGGAGATCCTACTGTGCCAAGGTTTGTGTTGTGGAATGGGAAACTGATATGTTGCCATCTCTTTTGCTTCGTTAATGGATGCATAAATTGGTTGAAGAGATTTCTAGAAGGCAAGGAGAGTTTAGATGATAGAACTAGGTGTAATACTTTTTGCTTGATTTGGGTAGATGCAAAAAGGCACTGACTTTGCGTTAAATTATATGATTATGTCAGTGACTAATGCCCATGGTAACCCATGACTTATGTTTTCGATTAAGCTTTTCATTTATTGTTTATTTTCACACAACTACGGATGTAATCTATTTCTTACAAAGCAGATGGATACTTATCATATTGTATGCAATTGTTTATTTAGGTACAACTGATATATTTAGGTACAACTACGTAAAGGTACAACTGGTATATTTAGATACAACTACAAGGTCCTTTTGAGTTTTTTAAAAATAAAAAATTAATTAAAATTGATATTAAAATGAATTTAAATATGACTGACGTGAAAAAAAAAAAAAAATAGACCTTTGGCGGCGGGATATTAATTTAAAATCATCGCACGTGCTGTAAAGTGGGCCAAAGACAGCGTGATATTCATAAAAAATTGTTTGTTATAAACGTAGTTGTACCTAGTTGTACAGTTGTACTATCATATTCATAGTTGGACTTTGGCGATTTTTGCGTATTTTCAGTTGGACTTTAATAAAAATTAGTAATTTTAAGTTGGACACATTATGTTACACTATTAATTATCATTTAAGAGGTTATCATAATACAATTTGTATGAAATCATAATTTTCACCTATTTTGCATCAAAAGAAGTGATCACCTACAAAGTGTTCCTTGTACTATAAGGAGTGTTTTACATGAAAACAATAGTATGGACTAAGAAAATGATAAATTCGATTTTTATTTATTTAAAATTGTTTCTTTATAGTTCCACATGTTTTTAGAATCCTTGTTAACTCTAATTTATCTTTTTTCATATTTGTTAAATACACATAGGGATACATTTATGATCTTAGTTGTACCTTGTCAAAACCTAATTATATCCAGTTGAACATAGTTGTACGAATACGACAAGTACATATATTTATACATATATGGTTATAGTTATGGTTTTAGTTGTACCCAGTATAGTTATGGTCTTAGTTGTACTAGTCGAACCTAGTTGTACCCAGTCGAACATGAAGTCTCTTAAATTATCTTCTTAACTTTAGAAGGGAAAGCAAGAGAGCAGGTCAAACAACCCTAGCACTAGCAGAACCTAAGTGTACTTGCATAAGAACTCAAAAACTTATCAAAAACACAGTCATCAGACAACGAGAGTGGAGCTATGGCAGCCAAAACCTTTGCCTTTTCTTCCAACAACTGAGCTTCGAGGTCTGAACACTTCCGCTTCACCTTCTCCTAATGAGCTTCGAGCCTTGAACACTTTAGCTTCAAATCCTTCAACTCTTCCTCAATTTCTTTTCTCCGAGTCTCACCAGCTTCCTCTTTCTCTTTCTTTTTGTAACTTGATCAAGTTTCTTCTTCAACCAATCTAACTTAAATCCATAATCAGTCAGGGATTCCAGCCCAGCATAGTAGCAAATCAGATTTTGCTTTACACACATTACAATGATGGCAAGAGGCAATTACAAGCAATGGCTTACAGATTGAATTCATTACAAGACTAACGTATGAATTTTGAGGTAGAATTTGCCATAAGAACTCATGATTACGGAATTGACAGTTCTCGTTCCCAACAAATCCCACCATACATCTAAGCGTATCAACAAGAGATCTTAAATATAAAGTTATAAACGCATAATAAAATTCTTGCTCTTCAAAGAGAAATCAAATCAAATGAGAAGAAGGAAAAAGGATGAAGAAGACTATACAATTATCAGAAACTTCGAATCGTTGATGCAAATCTTCGATAACTGAGAGAGCGTCGTCGTCGTCGGAGCGGTGGTGGTTGTTATTGATATCCATGGCGGAAGATTGAGAACTAAGAAAGAATCTCTTAGTTTCATCAATGGCGGAGGAGAGAGAAGAACAAATCGATTGCAAGGACGAGACGCCGGAGACGGCGGGCGGCGAGATCGGCGGGGTGAGCTCCGGTTTGGGAGGAGAGAAACGAAGAGGATGCGCGCAAATTTTTTTTGCCTTTTTGTTTTTTATTTTCGTTTTAATTTTTTAAAGTTATTAAATAAAAATATTTATTAAGGGCAAAATAGAAATAACACATACTAGAGTGGCATACAGACTCCAAAATGGCAGGCGTGATTACAATTTCCGGTTCAGTGGCAAACTAGCCTCTGTCTCCAAAGTGTGGTGTGGCCAAGTATGGAGGGTTCAGCTAAGTACAACGATGTCGTTTTGTCATTGCTATGCCAACTTGTCCTGGGCGTCAGGGTATTCAGATCGGTTACAGTTCTTTTGGTTTTCTAGAGTTTAAGATCAATTCGGATATTTTAAAATTTTGATTCGGTTCGGTTCCGCTTCTTTCGGTTCTGGAGTTTAGGATTCATTCGGGTATTTTCTTTCGAGAATTTCGGTTATTTTTTGGTATTTTGGATATTTACGGATATATTCGGGTATTTTTCGATTATTTTTGGTTATTTTTTTTTTCGGGTACTTTTGGTTATTCGGTCTAAAAATAACTAATATTTTTGGATATATGATTGTATCTCGGGTATTTTTAGGTACCTGAAGTATGGCGGTTCAGTATCTATTCGAATATTTTAAAATTTTTGTTTAGTTTTTTTTGCTTCGGTTCATGTTCGGTACATTCTGTTCATTTTCCCAGGACTAATGTGAACTATCTAGATAGTTGTATTTAAGGGAAAAATTCATTTTAGGGTTCTCTTAGATTATGAAAAACCTAATTAATCAATATCTCTATCTTCTTATATTTATCTTATCTCATTTCTTATCTCTTCTTTAACCTAAAATCTCTTCTTTTGATCTCATTTGTTAGAATTGTATCTAACAAAATCTCAAAAACACTAAAAACGAAGAATCACTAAGCTATTGTGTCAGTGTAAACAACTCATGGAAGGAGAAAATATCATATATTTAGAAACTAATCTTTCAATTTTTCATTGTATCATCAAAAATTTTACAAATTAAAAAGCGGAAAATCCATTAGAGAAGATTGATTTGGGTAAAGATAGAGCATAAAAAGGAACTTGATTTATATACACATGAGAAAATCTACTTAATATATAACTTTTTTCGATTTAACTCAGACATGTTAGAAAACATAATGTCTCTACTCAGATAACCACAAGAATCTTACGGAATATGATAAACAAAAGATTCGCGGTGCACACACTATAAACAAGAATCACATGACTCACATTAGTGGTATCTTAGTAAAAAATAACTTCACTTAAATTTTAAAATAAGAATATTTCATAGCCCAATAAATTAATGTTTTTGTCCTAAAAATCTCCAAGTGTCGTCAAAATGTAATAACAGTTTTTAGTCTGTGTTGTTGGTTTGT